AGCAGCATCATCATCATCATCATCAGCATCATCATCATCATCATCATCATCATCATCATCATCATCATCATCATTAGCATCATCATCATCATCATCATCATCATCATCATCATCATCATCAGCATCAGCATCAGCATCAGCATCATCATCATCATCACCATCAGCATCAGCATCATCATCATCATCAGCAGCAGCATCAGCATCAGCATCACTGTCAGCATCATCATCAGCATCATCATCATCAGCATCATCCTCATCATCATCCTCATCCTCATCATCATCCTCATCCTCATCATCATCAGCAGCATCATCAGCATCATCATCAGCATCATCATCATTATCATCATCATCATCATCATCATCATCATCATCATCACCATCATCATCATAATAATAAGCATCATCATCATCATCATCATCATTACCATCATCAGCATCAGCATCATCATCATCATAATCATAATCATCATCATAATCATCATCGTCATCATCATCAGCATCATCATCGTCATCGTCATCATCGTCATCATCATCATCATCACCATCATCATCATCATCATCATCATCATCATCATCATCATCCGTCCTCCGTCTTACTCCTCACTCATCAGCCCTCATCCGTCTTCCATTATCCTCCGTCCTCAGTCCTCCTCCGTCCTCATTATTCTATCCTCCTCCATTCCTTTGCCGTATGGATACTTCCCCCAGTCGCATCCCTAGGTCACTCGGACGGGATGGCCAGGCGTTTCGCCTGAGACGTCCTTACCATGTACGATCCTGGGACCGCAAACTTAGCAACAGCTTTGCATATGGAAGGCGGGCCACTGAGCGCCGCGTGCATCGTTGTTCAACTGCAAGAACTTCACGGATTGAAAGAGGGTGGTCTGCAAATAGTGACTCTCGCCTTAGCACGCCGCTGATTCGCATTGAAAACTGCAAAGAGTTCACGGAATGAGGGCGGGTCGCTTCCAAAATGTGGTTCTCGCCTTCGCGCCGCACACATTCGTGACACAGAAGATGCAATAGCGTTGCGGGTTGAGGGCGGGTGGCTTTGAAAATGCGGTTCTCGCCTCAGGGCGCCGCGCATTTGCTGCACAAATTATGTCCAAAGGTTCCACGGATTGAAAGCGATTCCTTTTCAAAAAATGTAATTCTCGCCTGTGCGCCGCACACACTCGTTTCAACATTGCTCCTGAATTTCATTGGTTCTCACGGTTAACGTACCAGAAACTGCATGTTCGAGCGATTCAAGACTGTGAAGGCGCAATGATTACGTTGATTCGCGGGGTTGAAGAAAGCCCAGGGGTGAGGTTCTGGCACGATTCAGGATCGTCAAGACGCAACAGCCAAATTGACCCGAGGCGTTGGAGTGCCGAGAAGAATGTTGTTACGCCTCAGGACATTCACTGGTTTGTCCCCCTATGGGGCACTTCCCTCAGTGGAGATGAACCCTTGTAGAAGCCTTTGGAGAGGGAGCTTGGAGGGAGGGTGCATTCCACCGTCGTTAATGAGCCTTGGATATACGGTGGTCCTCCTCCTCCTCCTCCTCCTCCTCCTCCTCCTCCTCCTCCTCTTCCCCCTCCCAGTCCTCCTCCTTCTAGCCCGCGGCGAACAAACCTTCGTCCTCCGTCCTCCTTCTCCTCCGTCCTCCTCCTCGTCCTGCCCCTCCCTCGCCCAGCCCTGGCCCAGTGCGTGGCACGTGGCCTGGGGCACGACGTTCGATCGGCGCGCCCGCCCCCGCAAAAGAGGAGAGAGACGCGAAGATCGGCCCCGGGAAGCCCTGGGAGGCAACCGGGAGCCCTTGGGAGGCTCCCAGGAAGCCCCTGGCAGCGCCTGGCACTGGGAAGCCTCCGGAGGCCCCCCAATAGGAAGGCACCAACTATACACCAACACCGATCCTGGCCATGATAACCCTGGGCCCAGGATCGGTGTATACGCCCTCCTGCCTTGCGCAAGAAGGCATATACACCGATCCTGGGCCCAGGGTGATCCTGGGCCAGGATCGGTGTTGGTGTATAGTTGGTGCCCTCCGACCTAAGGAGCGCCCTCGGCACGAGTTCTCCCGAGCGGCAGCCCGCCTGGCCGGCCTGAACTGATCTCAATCGCGGGTCACGCCCGCGGCGCACCCCAGATCACCCAGGAAAGCTCCCTTCGGAAAGCCCCTACAAGCGCCCAAGACAGTCGCAAGACCACCCGTGTACTCTCAAGATGGCCCTGAGACGTCCCCGAGACGTCTTATGGATGGTTCAATCGAGCCTCTTTAAACGAGTTTGGTGTACCGTCGTACCCACAACGGCTCCGAGATCCCCTCTGGGCACCCAACGGGCCTCCTTGAGGTCCCTAACCCAAGAGCACCCCAAGGAGCCCCCCAAGAAAACAAAAAAGCCTGCAATAGAAAGAAAGAGGAAGAGCACGAGACTGCAGACAAGGATGGTGCGTCGAGGACCCGCATCAGTTCATGATTTAGGGAACCGAACTGGGACCAGTCTTGAGCTCAGTATCCTTCCTGCTGCGCTGGTACTGTGGCGGGGTCTGCCGCAGACAGCTGGATAGAAAAACAAGCGCAATGTGCCTGACACAGCTCTAAACACGTCCGCGTCGGCGTTGACCTCTCTTGGAGTTTACATTTGCTGGCGCCGCCGTCCGCTAGGCGTCGCCAGCTTCAGCCCACAAAACCTCCCTGGAGAGATTGACGCGGCGTCTGCAGCTCGTCAGCCAACTTCCGCCGATGGGAAGATGCCGACCCTTCGAGTCCTCAGAAGAAGGAGGCCCGTCCTGGAAGTGGCCGCGTGGGCCTAAGCGGGCGGCCACTTCCCCGTCGAGGCTCTTGGCCATGATCTTGTCGCCCTTCTGCACCCAGCCGCTGAAGACCTTTCCGGTGACCGTCGGGCCTGCGGTGAAGGGTGGCCAGGAGGAAGGAGCAGGGAGAGGGGAGAGGGAGAGGAGAAGGGAGGCTATAGGACGAAGGGAAGGAGAGGAGGGGGAGGATGAACAGGGAGGGTGCGAGGTGGGAGGCTGCAGGCTGCGGGTGTGCTGCCGTCCCCCTCCCCTTCGCCACGCCCCCCCTCGCGTCGGTGCGCGGCCCCGTGGGGCTCCCTGCTGCTGCCCGCCGGGTGCGCGGCGATGGCGCCTGCCGCGGCCTGGGCCGCTGGGCGAGGCCGGCGTGGCCGCAGTGCGCACGCCGCGAGGCCGGGCGCTCCCGCGCGATCTGCGGTGCAGTCCCTGGCAGTCGGCTGCGCGGCGCCCCTCGCAGGGGGCGTGCTGGCGTCATCCCCCTGGTGGCCCACCGCACTCCGCCAGACCTCTCGGGCACCCAAGACTGCCCAGCAGGAGCCCCAAGAGGCAACAAGATGGCCCCCAGAGACTCCAAAGGTGCCCCGTGTGACTACACGCGTGTGCTTGGAAAAGGCAAGACATCAGCGAACGTGGACACCAAACAGTATGTTCTAGCAATCTACGCTGTGCAATGTCTGTGGTGCAACCTGCGTTGTGCAATCCATGTTGTGCAATATTTGTCTCGTCAACGATCTATATAAACACACATATGTATATATATGAATGTATGTATGTACGTACATGTGTACATATATGTGTATATGTGTATGTAAATGTCCATGTGCATGAATATGTAAACGTTCGTGGGACATTCGATATATGTACATGAATAGATGTACACATATGCACGCATACACCTACATACACATGTATACACACATACACACACCCATACATACATGCATAAATGCATACATACGTGTACAATATACCAGATAAAACCAAACAACATCGATGTAGGGCTCTGGGGGTGTAGGGCTTCTGGGGCTACAAGGCTATAGGGCTACAGGGGCTATAGGGCTATAGGGCTATAGGGTTATAGGGCTATCGGACTATAGGCCTATAGGGTCATAAAGCTAGAGGGCTATAGGGGGATTCGGCTATAGGGCTATAGGGCTATAGGGCTATAGGGCTATGGGGCTATGCTGTTATAGGGGTATAGGGCTGTAGTGCTATAGAACTATAAGGCTATGGGGCTATAGGGCTGCAAGGCCACCAGGCACCCGGGCAACACCCGGGCACCCGGGCACCCGGGCGTGCCGCCGAATTCGGCGCCACACCTGACCTCACGATATGTTTGTATGATGCCGCAGCGAGCAAGCCCCGCAGGGCCTCTCCGAGATGGGACGCCGACCAGCCCCGCGCCTGCACCCGCCACGGGACGCGGGCATCGGAGAGCCCCGGGCCTCGGCCGCCCGGCGAACCACGGCGACGTCCCGAGTGCACTCTGGCCGCGGCCGCGGGGCCCCTTCCGGGCCTGGAAATCCTGCAGCCAAGCGCGGGTGCCCTCCCGCCAGTGCGAGGCCTGCTCGACTCCATCCTTCCTGGCCTCTGGCCCCGTTTGAGCGGTGCCCTCACCTCCCGGTGCCCTCACCTCCGGCCCCGGTATCTGGGGGTATCCGGGATGGCACTTCCTCCTCGGGTTCAACCACCCGGGCACCTTCCACTCACCTCCGGCCCCGAGGGCGGGGGGTATTCGGAGGGGGTCGCCCAGTACCGAATGCTCCGCGCTGGGTGAATCTTCTACGCCCCATATGCTCGATGGGCCCTCGGCCTCCGCGGGCTCGAGCACCTCTCCTGCGGGAGAGAGGCCATGGGAAGGTGAAGTATATCTGGCAAGGCGCATCGCTGGAACAATGCAAGAACGCACGCGCCACATTCATGCGGATCACCAGCTTTCCAGGTGCCCGCGCGGGCAGGCTGTCCACGGCAGGGCGCGCTAGAACGAAGGCGAAACGCGCTGCACTGCGCAAGGGATTCTACAAATACGTCGGCGGGGCACAGCACCCCGCGTAGAGCGGCTCCCACAAGACGGGCGGGCAATGACAGCGCGGGCCAGAAAACCGCCCTCAAAATATCCACCAATAAGGCGCGAAACCTGCCCCGGCGGATTGGCGCATATACGTTGGCCAAGTGTCGCAGGGAAAACACACCAGAAATATGTACACCAATCGAAAACGCATTGGACAATATCGGCCAATCCCCAAAAAACGCCAGAATCGACAGAAACTTCCGCCCGGGGGGGGGGCAGGACCGCGGGCACCATCGCTGATACCAGTGGGGATACAACTTGCGAGAATCGGAGAAGAACGGGGGGGGGGCGACGACAGCGTCGCAGAAACACACTCTGCACCAGCGTCGCGACAGTGGAACACCATGCCACACCGCACACCTGGGCTGCAACTCGGCGCCCCCTGTAAATCCCCCAACAAAAAAATCGCAGCGGCCAGCCGAACGCATCACCTGATAGATTGCGTGTTCCGCAGGCCACCAACCGGTTCATCCGAGGGCTGAAGGGGGCCCATGCAGCTCGAGCCTCTCGTCCATTCCCTGCCCTGGGGAGGTCGCGCTCTCCGCTCCGGGCGACGACGCGGGGGGTAGCCCGTCGCCCAGCAAGGCGATCCCAGCTGCCGCTCCTGCGGCCGCTCCATCCACGCGAGCGGGCTGGCTCCCGGGGCGGGCGTGGGGGCTCTGGGGATCCACCCACCCACCACTCCAAACAGGGCGATCAGAAGGCCCCCGCGCGGGGGTCGCATGAGTACAGGGCCGGCGCCGCGCGCGCGGGCCCCACGCAAAAAGCAGACGCTGAAAACCTCGATGGCTGTGGACTCCGTGGGCAAAAAGAAAAGAGAGGAGAGAACGCCCAGCGAGGAAGGGGGGGAAGCCCTCCGTTGAAGGAAGCACAAACGAAACCAACGTGACGCAGTCTATGTGTTGTCATCAGTGGCTTGTGTCCTATCTGTGGCAAATACACACGGTGCGGTCTACATGGTGCAATCGGCATAATACAAGATATGTTGTGCAATATACGCGGCGCAATGAATGTGGCGCGATATATGTGGTGCAACTTTTATTGTGCAGTCTATCTGTTTGGTGGATGTCATATGTGATCGCAGTGAGTTGTCAACTTCACTGCTCGCGCAATCACCCTACCCACCCACCAGCAACGTGGTTGCAATACCCGTGCGACGGCGACTGCGATGAGTGCTTGGCGCTGGCTGGTGCATCTCCGCGGCCGCGCTGGCCCGCGCATGCTCGCGCGCACAGCGGCTAACTATTTTGGCGCGACGACGCGGCCGCGATGGCGCTGACCGCTGGGCACTTCCCAGCGGGCGCTTCAGCGCGAGTCGATGACTGGGGCGGGCGCGGTACCATGGCGACCCCGACAACGATAGACACGACGATGAGAGTAGTCATGATGGAGACGATGGTGGCGATGACGACGACACGGCCAATGACGGCACCGATGTTGACCACGCCCGCCGATCTTGCCAGCTTGGGACTAACAAATGAAGCCCCCCCCCCTCCCCCCGCCCCACGGGGCTGATGAATGGACCCCGCAGGGCGTGAAACAATTTTTCGAATCGCGCGCACCAGGGTGTCGTCGTAGGCGCCGTCGAGGGTATCGTGCACCGCCCTGCACGGAAGCCTCAAAACGACCGGCCTTCGTATAGCAGTTGTTACAGGGATCGTCTTCATCCGAGGCGAAGTTGTTCCCCTTCTCAGGCTGATTACTGACGTGCCGCAGTCGTAGTCGTCGTCGTCGTCGTCGTCGTGATCGTTGCCGTCGTCGTCCGTCGTCGTCGTCGTCGTCGGCGTCGTCGTGGTCGTCGTCGTCGTCGACGACTACAGCGGTCCAGGCCGACGCAGCATTCCCTCCCCCAATGGGGCCGCCTCCTCCCATCCTTGCCTCAGCCGTCCGCATGTCCATGTCGGCAAGCCCTCACATGTTTCGTGGCCCCACAGGGAGCCCCACCGAAGGCCCCAGCGGCAGCGCCCGCATGGCGTCACCCCGCGGATTTCGTTCGACACACCACCCACCTGTCGTGACGCCACCAAGAGCCCCACCGAAGGCCCCGGCGGCAGCGCCCGCAGGGCGTCACCCCGCGAATTTCGACGCACCCCTGACCCACTTCGTGACCCCAAAGGGACCCCCGAAGGCCCCAGTGGCAGCGTCCGCATGGCGTCAACCCGCCCATTTCGACAAACCCCTCCCACGGTTCGTGACCCCCACTGGGAGACCCCCCTGGGAGTCCCAGTGGCAGCGTCCGCATGGCGTCACCCCCCCATTTCGACAAATCTCTCACACGTTTCGTGGCCCCACAGAGAGCCTCACCGAAGGCCCTAGAGGCAGCGCACGCATGGCGTCACCCCGCACATGTCGGCAAGCCCTCACATGCTTCGTGGCCCCACAGAGAGCCCCACCGAAGGCCCCAGCGGCAGCGCCCGCATGGCGCCACCCCGCCCACTTCGACGCGCCCGCATGGCGTCAGCCCGCCGATTTCGACGCACCCCTCACACGACTCGTGATCTCGCCTTCCCCCACGTGCCCTGCGGCATTCACACTTGCATCTGGCTGGGCCCTCCGCCAGGAGGAATGTATGTTTTTCCCAGCGGATCGATCCGCGAGGGCCTCGCGGCCCGAAACGGGGCCAGCGCTCACAGTCTGCCACGGCCCCGGCCGCTCCTCTCGCGAGCCATCTGTGGAGCGTCGGCCAGGCGCACACGGCAACGCTAGGAGCCATTCCCGTCCTCGATGTAGTCAGAGGGGGGAGGAGGGGAGAGGAGAGAGGTAGGACAGAAGGAAAGAGGGGGGGAGGGAGGAGGGAGGGAGCAGGGAGGAGGGAGGGAGGAGGGGCGAGGGGAGTGGGGGGAGGAAGCAGGGAGCAGGAAGCAGGAGGAGGAGAGATCCTCGAACGTCCTCTGCGACTGCGTTGGAGCCACTCTTCCATTACCACCCTACCACGAATACGAGGGGGAGAGAAGAGAGGCATCCCCACTCCTGCCCTTTTCGATACAGTAGGGGGGGGGATCGAAGGACTGGTCATGGGTGCCTCGGCCCCCCAGGGCCTCAACGCTTGCCGTGCCCCGTGCTGCCAAACGAGACGAGAGGCCCAGCGCGCCCGACCACCTGGGTCTCGTCCCCACAGTGGCTCCCCGCAGACAGCTTGAACAAATGGCGAGTGGCATGCGTGACCATGTCCTGCTGCGCGCTGGGCCCCTAAAGGGAGAGAACAATGCTCTGCGTTGGGCATGTCTGGGAAGCCCTGTTGCCAAGATGCTCGGCGCAACCACTGAGAACAACAGGCGCGATGCTGCCATGCAGGGCGCCTCCGAGGCGCGCTAGCCGCGCCGCTGCGCCAACCCCGAAAGGTTGAACCACAAACCTGATGGCTTGGATGTGTCTGATGTTTCAAGCGAAACTCGTCGCTGTCAAAACATGCCGTCTGCCTGAGCGGCCGCATGCAACAGCTGACCGTCCGAACCCGCCCTCCCTCTCTTGGCAAGAAGGCCTGAAAAACTGGCCCAACCCCTGTTTGATGAGGATGAACTTGACTTTTCTCGATCGTCAAGGCTACCGCTTGCAAGTACTACCGAGCAACCTCGCAGCAAAAAGAGAGGAGGGGCCTAACGCGGGAAGCTTGTCCAGCTGCGAAACTAGCATGGAGAAGCCCCCCATCTTCTCGTCTGCCTCCAGCCCAACTCTGGCGCTCCAAGTCTCCCTCGTGCAAGTGTTAGCCTCATCCGCGCTGGCATATGTACTAGAATTACGAAGAGGTCGTTTCTGGAATTTCGCATCGAGCAGAACATGGACCTAAAGGAAGACAACGAGGGAAACAGAATGATGGGCAAGATCTTGCGAATATGTGTGAGGAGGCCCGGCGGGCGCACAAGACTTCAGCTCAAACCATTCAACCCAAGCACCACGCTCCAGCAAGCCCATCAGCTGGCAGATTGCACTGACAAGGTCGTAGACACATACGATAAGAAATCCTGCTACAAGAACTCCAGGGTGACCGTCGTCGAGCTTCGAGCTTGCTGAGGTGCCTCGAGGCTTCTCTGGGCCCCCAGGATCCCCCAGGGCCAATCTAGGAATCCCACCAGCCCTCTGGGAGTGAGTGGTTCAGGGAGTTTTCTCTTCCAACTTCCCTCTTCCCCTTCGGGGAGGGGCTTATCACTGTTCCCTATGAATAAACACACCCTCCCCCAGGCGACCGGCAGCCAACCACGACCAATGCGACCTCCCCCCCTCCCCTGCCAAAAAACAATATGAAGCAAACTTTGAAGCAAAATCTTTGGTCATGCTCGTGGGCCCTGCGAAAACGGTGCGTTGTGTTTTGACCGGGACGGCGGGGGTGCCCTCATATTGCCTGCTTTGCGCAAGGCCACCATCCCTTACAAAAACATGCAATTCGCGGCTAAATCTGAATCATGCGCAGCCGCCCCGCGATCATTGCCCACTGGTGTTTGACAAGGACCGCGGTGGTGGTTGCAGATTGCCTGCTGTGTGCAGGTCCAACGGAGACCATGATGGCCTCCCCGCCTCGATTGTGTACTGTCTTTCGACAAGGATGGCGGGGGCCGACATGTTCCACGATGTGTGCTGTCACGTGCGCGGGCGCACCTGGCAAACTGCGCATGCCCTGGACGTGGCGCACCTGGCGCGGGTAGACAATGCAGCACACATGGCGCACGTAGAGCACGTAGCACATCTGGCGCGCGAGGCGTGCCTGGCACGCTTGGGCCCCAGGGGTGCCTGGCGCACCTGGAGCGCCTGGCACTCGTGGCGCACCTCGCCCTATCGAGCACATGGGGCCTGTTTTGGCTCCCATTAGCTGCCCATCCATAGACGGCCGCTGAACATGCTGAGCCCTCGCTACTACTTATCTGTTGAGAGGGCGGGTGGGAGTGAGCGGGACAGCTTGGCAGCGAGGAGGGTGTCTTGACCCCTCCCCCTCCCCCGTCCCCCTGGGTCTGGGCCTCGAGGGGGGGGGGGGTCGCCAGAGGCTAGAGCGTCCGAAATGGCCTCGGCGAGGAAGCTGACAGTATTGATTGTAGTAAGGTTTTCGCAACATTTTGGCCTCCTGGGGGGGACCCGAATTGGGGAGCTCCCCTCCTGTCAATCTCCTCCTGGATGGCCCACAGATGGCCCCCGAGGCTCCCAAGGGTACCCCAAGACGGCCCCAAGGGACCCCCGAGATGCACTCAAGATGCCCCCAGGAGGCTCCCAAGAAACCCCCAAGAGGTCCCAAGAGGCCCCCCAGTGGCACCCAAGACGTCCCAAGAGGCCCAGGCGAGAAGGCCAAAGTCCTTGATTGTACTACGTTTGGGGCTACATGTTGGCATCCTGGGGGGGGACCCTAATTAATGACCCCATCCTTCGACCTCAAAGATAGCCCCAAGATGGCCCCCGAGGCTCCCAAGCATGCCCCAAGACGGCCCCAGGAAGAGCCCAGCAGGCCCAAGGAGGCCTCCAAGATGCCCCCAAGAGGCTCCAAAGAGAGCCCCAAGAGGCTTCAAGAGCCCCCCACCAGAGGCACCCAAGACGCCCCAAGACGCATCGTCGAGCAGGCCAAGATCATTGATTCTACCAAGGTGTTGGCCACATGTTGGCCTTGTAGGGGGGCTAGTTTAGTACGGCCCCTCCTCTGATACATCTCCTCCAAGGTGGCCCCAAGATGCCCCCCCGAGGCTTCCCAAGGGTGCCCCAAGACGGCCCCAAGGAATGCCCAGGAGGCCACAGGAGGCCCCCAAGACGCCCCACAAATGCCTCCAAGAGGCTCCAAGAGACCTCCAAGAGGCCCCTAGAGGCCCCCACGAGGCGCCCAAGACGCCCAAAGACGCCCCCAAGACTGCCAAGAAATCTCCAAGGCGCCCTGAGAGGACTCCAAGAAGCTCTCGAAAGATATCCGAAGAGACGCCGAGGTGCATCATGAGGCCTCTCGCCTTTCTGCTCGCCCTCCTCCTCCTCCTCCTCCTCCGCATAGATGATTATGCCTCCCTCCTCCCTCCTCTTTCTCCTCCTCCTCCTCCTCCTCCTCCTGATCCTCCCATTCCTCCTCCATCGTCCCCCTCTTGGGCTATGACACCTTACCCAGCCATGTCTTCCAATGCATGCTCCAGCAGATCCCTGGTCAGGACGACTCGTCTGCGCATTATTTTTGGATGGGCTGCTGGGGCTACGCGAAGCGTCTAGAATAAGAGTCCCCAGGGCACCCAATCGCAGGCGGGTCTATTGCCGAGCACATTATACGGATGAGGTGCAGCCGAGCAGCCTGGGAAGACAAAAACCCTGGACACCGAGTGTGGCGCAGGATGCGAGAACCGTCCGCGCCTCGCAACCACATCGTCAGGCTGGGTGGAGCGGCCCTTCACGAGTGAAGAGCAAAGGGGGCGCGGAGGGGGCAGTGGTGGTTCTGCCGTATCTGCGGAGTTGGTACAGTCCCAAATACGGCATGGTCTTTGAGATCATCGGCGAGGTCAAGCAAACGGTCATTAGCGAGACAACGGGCGATTTACCCGAAATTGCCTCGGGCGCAGCCGGCCTCCCGGTACTCTCGTGAAGACTCTGGCTGGGGCTCGGCAGCTCCGGCGGCGCTGAGGCCTGCTAGAACTTCTCGACCGCGTGGGCCCTGCTGTTTTGGGTGTGGTGTTCGAGCGCCCGAAGCGTATATACTGGGGGGGGCACATGCTGGTGATCCTGTTTCGGCTGGTTGCACACATGGTTCTCAAGCCCGAGCCTGCGAATCGCAAAATGCCAAAACCAGACTGCCCCGATGAGATACTGATAAGGTAGAGCCCCATGCCGCAATTCAGCCGGCACGGGCTACAGCAAGCTCAAGAAGACGAGGGAAGCCTTAGGTGTAGCATGGCGACGAGCTAGAAGACCTCACTGCAGAGCGGCGGGCTTCCATATCACGCATGGGGATTCACCCTCAAAACGAAGACCTTGGCCAACATCCAGGACGACATCGACCTCATCGCTCCAGGGCACCCCCGCTATTTCTACCACCTGACGTGGCGCGGAGCGTGAGGACCCGCTTGGATGCCGTCGGGGCGGGGCAACGTTTGCCCACTGCTGGTCCCTACGCCCCAAGCTGCGGACGAGATAGTTCCTCCGCCGCCGCCGGGCCACGCCGCCAAGTGTCCTGCCGCGAGTGATGCCGCAGCACAGCTCACCGCCGACAGGCGAAGAGCCCCGAGAGACGGGCGAAGATCGGCAGCGCCGTGGGCCTGGCCCCTCCGTGGACGGGCGGGCAGAGGTGGGCGGGCGGCTCTGGACCGGTCGACCCTGCCTGGGGCAGAGTGGAGCTGCCGCGGCTCGACCTCGGAGGACAACGTCACCGTCGCAGAGGGCGGCGTCCGCGATGCAGCGGTCATAGCTCAGAGGCCACAGGCGCTGGGAGGGCAGTGCGGGCCATAGGGGCCGTAATCGCGGGGCTCGCGGAAGGGCGGCCGCAAGTGCCACACCAGACCAGATGCAGATTGTGGGTGACGGCAAACCGTCTAAGCTTCAGAACGAATAGGAAAAGATCCTTCTCACTGAGGAGCGGCTCTAGCGTCCGATCTTGCGTCCGATCTTGCGTCCGAGCGCCAATGGGCGTGCCGATCTTGCGCCCGTACAAATTCCTTGCATGAGCCGTTTGCAAACAGTGGCTCCCTGCTCTGTTGTACATGTTTTGGTGTGCTGTTGTTCAACTATGTTCCAGAATGTGCCTCCGCTTCATCGCTGTTCCCTCGAACCTGGAGTCGCAAGGCCCACGTCGACAGCAATCTAGGCACGCACATGGTTGCCCGATTCGCTATGGCGCGCCAGGTTGCCTCGGTTGCGGTGCCCGCTGCGAGATGCCACTTGCAGCTACCGCTAGTAGAGCCGCCACTCTGTTTGTACAACGTGTCGCTTGGCGAAATGATTTCCACGAGCGGCATGGCCGAATAGGAGCCTCTGCCGAACGGCATCGTGTGTCTGGTTTGGCGGTGGCGTGAGCCACGTTTCGGGCCGAGTGGGCTGCACGGGTGGTGTGTCCTCGGGTGCGTGCGAACCCTCGATATCGAGTCTGAGTGTTGCGCCTGCTCTGGGGCACGGGCCCCCGAGTTCGGGACTTTCTGGAAGCGGCTACGCGCGGACGGGATTTCTCGAATGACTTTCCCAGAGGCGTCGGGGGCATGGTGGGGCCATTTCAACCTTCCTTCGGATGGCCTCAAAAGACCGTCCTGGGACTCTTGGGGGCCTCTTGCGACGTGTTGGACGCCCTGGGAACCGGCCCAAGATGCCAAACGCGTCCAAACAATAATGTTTTTGCTATGTTTCCGCGATCTCTGCATTTCGGTCCTACGCGTGTTCCACAAGGCCCACATGATCGCCCAAACACGGCCCCCAAGAGGCTGTCCAAGAGAACCCAACTGGTCTCTTCAAAAGACCTTTCTGAAAGGGCTCGCGTCCACGACCCAGGCACTGTGGCGGTGTGGGCCGAAAACCACTAGATCCGCCGCCCCCTGTGATGGCCACAGGGGTGCACGGCGCGCCTAATGTTTAACTGTTTGGGTCATTTTGAAGGTTCCCACTGGCACTCGGCCGAAGAGACCAGAAAATCCCAATATGATCACCCTAAGACGGCCAAGATAAACCAAGATGGCCTGCAAGATGGCCACGATGGCCCAATATGCCCTCGAAGACGATCCCAAGACGCCTCCACGACGGTCAAGACGGCCCCAAAAGAGCCCAAGATGGTCCCAAGATGCTTGCAAGACGGCCCAAGAGGCCCCCAAGACGCCCCACGAGGGCTCCGAGGGAATCTCCAGGAAGCCAAAGTCATGAGACGGCGGCGGCCGCGACGAGCACGGAGGGAGGAAGGAAGACGAAGACAGAGAATGGGATGGTACGGGATGGGAGGGGAAGGGTGGAAAGGCAGAAAGACAGTCCACTGGCGAATGGGAGGCCAGCTACGGAAGGCAATTTGGGAAGGTGTGGTCTGGCCACTAAGCTTGCCAGTGGAAACGAGCGGGGACACTGGCATCGCGCATTCCGCCAGCACTATTTCCACCCGATTGCAGGCCCTCCAACGACCGAATCGATATGCCCTGCGGGATACCAGACAGCAGTACGTATGTCGATAGCGCAAGGTCGAACGGCATGACACGCAAGGATCAGCCACTCGGACCTTCGCGAACACCGAGGGGACCTCACGCTGCCCTGCTGGAGCCTGACGCTGGTGGAGCGCTCTGGTTACGCGTCAAGAACTGTCGGTCGCACAAGATCCTGTCGGTTGTGAGCAACGCGCGGCAATAATCCCCTTCTGCCACTTCCCCCTGGCTCAGCAGGCGCCCGCGATACTGGATCAACCCGGACAAGCCACTAGGCACGATACTGTAACGAGCCCAGCCGTTGGAACCAGTATATTGTACCGCCGACTGACTGCTGAACACGTTCAGAGGGTCCGCCTCCATCTCATCCGTGCTCTGCTGAAGCGGACGACGACGACGACGACGACGACGACGACGACGACGACGACGACAACGAAGAAGGGAGGAGATGCTCTGTCGCCGGCGCAGGGTCAGGAGGAGGAGGAGGAGGAGGAGGATTGGGAGGATCGGGAGGATCAGAAGGGAGGAGATGCTCTGTCGCCGGCGCAGGGTCAGAGAGCCCCGCACGGCGCAGGCCCCCGGCCCTCCCGAGGCCCCGCCCCGCCCCGCCGCGAGGATCTCCGGGTCGACCTCCGGCGGCGACGGCGCGGGGACGTGCTTCACCAGAGCCTTTCGGCGGCCGGCCGTGGACGCTGCAATCCCGCCTCCCTCTCCCCCCCGCAGCGCGCCAGAAAAGCCTCTCGGTGCCCGCCCCTCGGGTTTGGGCGCCCGAAGTGGGTACGGAAAGAGGAGGAGGAAGTGGAGGAGGAGGAGGAGGAGGAGGAGGAGGAGGAGGAAGAGGGGGAGGGGGAGGAGGAGGAGGAGGAGATGGGCACAATGCCCAACAGCAAATGTTGTCCCGGACCAACAGCGGCCGCTGTCGGGCAGGCGGCCTTCTGTTTCAAAGGGACACGGGCCGCGGCGGCGCGGACAGCGAGCCCTGTTCCAAATGAGCAAGACCCGCTGTGGGGCATGGTACCCATGCTGTCAATACCCAGTTCGTGCGTGCAGATCGGGCCTCCCAGGTCTACGGCGCCCTGACTGATGCGATCAGCAGCCCCGGGCCCCCGCGGAGCTGCCCACTGCGGGGGGTCCATGCAGACTCTTGGCGGGGACTCTGCCCGGGAATGGGGACGACACCTCTGGGGACGATACGCAACGGCCGGCCGAAGCTGACAGCGCCTGTTCCTGTTGGGGCAGGCGATGGTCGCCATCTAGCTGACAACGCGCGCGGCAAGACCGACAGCGATACCTCTTCGAACTGCACAAGACGTAAGAGCCTGTCTATTTATGATTCGCGATTGCAGGCGTGCTTCTTCTTCTCCTCCGCCTCCACCTCCTCCCCCGCCTCCTCCTCCTCCTCTTCCGCTTCCGCTTCCTCCTCCTCCTCCTCCTCCTCCTTCTCCTCTTCCTCCTCCTCCTCGTCCTCCTCATCCTTCTCGTCCTCCTCCTCCTCCTCCTTTTCCTCAGCCTCCTCCTCTTAGTATTATTATGCTGATTAGTTTGCTTCTGCTTCTGCTTCTGCTTCCTCTTTGTCTCCCTCATCCTCCTCTCCTTTTTTTCTAATTAGTAACTTCTCCCTGTCGCACACCTGTGACTTCCTCACCATTTACGACGCTGAAGCTTTAAGCATGGCAACAGCTTCACAGTTGGAGGGCGCGTGGCTTTCAAAATGTGGCTCTCGCCTCAGCGCCGCGCACATCCGTTCTAACGGATAAGGGCGCGTCTTTTTCAAAATGTGGCTCTCGCCTGGGCCCCGCGCACATTCGTCTTCAACAATTGCATGAACTTCACGGATTGAGGGCGGGACATTTTCGAAATGTGGCTCTCGCCTTAGCGCCGCGGACATTCGTTCTCATCGCGTGAATTTCACGGGTTGAAGGCGGGTGGTTTTCAACATGTGGCTCTCGCCTGGGCCCCGCGCACATTCGTCTTCAACAATTGCATGAATTTCACGGATTGAGGGCGGGACATTTTCAACATGTGGCTCTCGCCTTACCGCCGCGCACATTCGTCTTCAAACAGTTGCAAGAAATTCACGGATTGAGGGCGGGCCATTTTCAAAATGTAGCTCTCGCCTTAGCGCCGCGCACATTCGTTGTGAAAATCCGCAAGAGCTTCACGGATTGAGGGCGTGGTTCCCGCATTAGCGCCGCGCACATTCGTTTTCCAATTTCACACGAGTTTCACGGATTCCCATGAGCAACGTACCATCAATGGTGTTTGGGAAGGATTCAGGATGATGCGAATGCAACAGTTATGTTGATTCGCGGTGTTGAAATCCCAAAATGGCGTTCTGGCACGAGTCCTGATCGTCAAGCCGCAGCAGACAGGTTGATCCGTGGCATTGAAATCCCGAGATCAGTGTTTTGGAATGCTTCAGGGTCTTCAAACAGTCGTATTGCAACGAGGCAGCTCCCTCAAAGGAAATGAATCGTTGTAGGGACCTATGAAGAGGGAGCTTGGAGGGAGGGTTAATTCCAACATCATTGATGACCCTTGGTTTTACATTGGTCCTCCTCCTCCTCCTCTTCCTCCTCATCCTACTCCTCCCCCGCATCCTCCGCATTCTCCCCCGCCTCCTCCTCCTCCTCCTCCTCATCCTCATCCGTCTCATCATCAACATCATAATCATCATCGCCATCATCATCAGCATCATCAAAATCAGCATCAGCATCATGATCATCATCATGATCAGCATCAGCATCTTCATCATCAGCAGCAGCGGCAGCAGCATCATCCTCCTCCTCGTCCTCTTCCTCATTCCCCCCTCCTCCTCCCCCTCCTCCTCCCCCTCCTCATCCTCCTCATCATCATCAACTTCCTCCTCCTCATCCTCCTCCTCTTCCTCCTCCTCCTCCTCCTCCTCCTCCTCCTCCTCCTCCTCCTCCTCCTCCTCCCTCCTCCTCTCCTCATCCTCCTCCTCCTCCTCCTCCCCTCCTCCTCCCCCTCCTCGTCATCCTCCTCATCCCCCTCCTCCCCCCGTCCTCCTCCTCCTCTTCTCCTCCTCCTCCTCCTCCACCTCCTCCTCCTCCTCCTCCTCCTCCTCCTCCTCCTCCTCCTCCTCCTCCTCCTCCTCCTCCTCCTCGTCTTCCTCCTCCTTCTCCTCTTCTTCATCCTATTCTTCCTCCTCCTCCTCCTCCCACTCCTCCTCCCTCTCGCTTCCCTCCTCCTCCTCCCCTCCTCCTCCTCCTCCGCCTCATCATCATCATCATCATCATCATCATCATCATCATCATCATCATCATCATCATCATCATCATCATCATCATCATCAACAACATCAGCATCATCATCATCATCATCATCATCATCGTCGTCGTCGTCATCATCATCATCATCAACAACACCATCATCATCATCGTCATCATCATCGTCATCATCATCATCAGCATCATCATCATTATCATCAGCATCATCATCGTCATAACCCTTCTCCTCCTTCTCCTCCATCCTCTTCCTCATCCTCCTCGTCCTCATCCTCGTCCTCGTCCTCGTCCTCCTCCTCCTCCTCCTCCTCCTCCTCCTCCTCCTCCTCCTCCTCCTCCTCCTCCCTTCTCCCTCCTCCTCGACCTCCTCCTCCTCCTCCTTCTCATCCTCCTCCTCCCCCTCCTCCGCCCCTTTCTCTTCTTCATGTCTCCTCCCTTCTTCTCCTCGCCGCTCTCTCGTCTCCCGTTCTCCTTCCCTCCGGCTCCTCCCCCAGAGATCGGAGTCCTTCCTCCAGAAGCACCCCGTGTGCGGACGACAGCGACGACGACGAATTCCTAGGAACCGTTCAGGATCCTCAATGAATCGTCGAATCCTTAGGGCATCTTTGCCGATGTTGGCAAAATGGCGTGACGCGGTCCAAGGGGCGTTTGGGAGAGGGCCGACCACGGCCGTTATCGCCCAGACTTGCAAAAAATAGGCTCTAATGTAAGGCATGGTCCCCATTCGCTTCGTCGCCAAGTGGGCTGCCGTGGGAAACTGACAGCGAACGTTTGGGGGTCGACACCCGCCATCGAACCAGCAGTGCGCGCGGCGAGGCCGACAGCGATATCTGCTCGAATCTGACTAGGCGGCCTCTCTGCGGGAGGAGCTCTGCCAGAGACGAAACAGAGACCAGCAGTGCGCGAGGGGGGGGGGGGGGGGGGGACAGGGCCCCCGTCCTCCTCCTCCTCCCCCTTTTCCCCCCCGTCCTCCTCCACCCTCCCCAATGCTCCCCGTCGGCGTGCTGCCAGTCCAGCGCTCCCCGTCCGCCTCGTCCACTCCACTACGGCCCGCCGACACGCCCCGGCCAGCCGCCTCGTACAGGGCCACCATGTCGGTGGGGCGGCTGTCCGACCGGGCCTCCTCCAGGGACCTGGCGCAGAAGCCGGCCTGGCGCGGGGCCGCGCGGGAGAGGAAGGGAGGGACGGAGGGAGAGAGAGGGAGGGAGTGAGGCAGTGAGGCAGCGAGAGAGAGAGAGTGAGTGAGGGGGGCGCTCCCCCAAGCGGAGCCCTGCCTAATCTGACAAGACTGAGAGCTCAGCGTGCAGAGACATTAGATCCACCCAGACAGGAAGCAGAGAGGGAGAGGCGGAGGAAGAAGAGGACGAAGAGGGGCAAGAGGGGACAAAGCCGCTGGCCCCATTGCGGGGCCACCAGGCTGCGAGAGTCAGGCTTCAGCAAAAGATACCAGTCCTGAGCTCCTCTGCCCCACTCACAGTTCCAGTGCAGCTTCCACTTTCCAGTCTCCAGCGTTGCAATTCTACTCAACAGAAATTCTAGCTCGCGCGCGCGGGGCGCCCCTGGAGGTCCCCGGACGAAAAGCACCCCGGCAAAATCCTGGGCAGGTCCCGGCAAGGTCCCTGGCAGGTCCCGGCAAGGTCCCAGGCAGGTCCTGGCGAGGTCCTGGCCAGGTCCCGGCGGGCTCCCAAGAGCGCTCCAGGAGCGCTTCAAATGGCCTCCAAGAGAGCTCAACATGGTTCGAGACGGTCCAAGAGCGATCCAAGACGCCAACGATGGCCTCCAGACAGCCCAAAGCGCCTTCAAGACGCCCTAAGAGGCCTGCAAGAGACCTCGCAAGAGGGCCCACAGAGGCAGATTTGTTTGATTTTCCTGCAGTGTTCGAAGGTTTTTAAGCGTTCTCGCCTTTTCGGCTTACCGGCGCTCCAAGACGGCCCAAGAGGCTTCCGGGATCGCCCCAACACGGCCCAAGAGCGCCCAAAACGGCCCCAGAGGGCCCCAAGACAGCCCTAGAGGCATCCACGATGGCCGAAGAAGCTCCCAAGACGGCTCCAAGAGCGGGCCCAGACAGGGGACCCGAACGGACATTCCGAGCTCTAGGCGCAGAGAGGTCCCGAGGAGGCCCTAAGAGGCTCCCAAGAGCCCCCAAGATGCCCCCGAGAGGCCCCCGTGACGCCCCAGGAGGTCCCAGAAATACAGCCAAGAGGCCCCAAAAACAGGCTCCAGGAGGCCCCGCAAACGGCCTCCAAGAGGCCACGAACGCGCAGGCCAACGCCTGCGATGGCACAACACGGGCCGGCGGAGTTAGCGAAGCGACGAAATAAACATGCATGAGGTTCGCGTCCCCAGAGCCACGCTCCCGAGGCCAGAATCCCGGTGCAAGTCATACCAGATTCGCGCCCCCGCGGCCAGAGCCCCTCCGATTCGTACTCGCCTCGCGCGCCCGAAGCCAGACTCCATAGCGAGGTACACCAGCTTCGAGCTCCAAAGGGCCAAATCCCTTAGTAAACTACACCAGAGTCATTCTCCCGAGGCCGGAATCCAGTGTGGGGGGGCCCAACGGGCGTGTGAACCCAGGCAGCGGGGGAGCCGGTCTCGATGTCTCGATAGCTCGATATCTCTCTTCCGAGAGGGCACAAACTCAACATCTCGATACCTCGATATCTCGATGCCTCGATATCCCCGATGTTGGCTGGGGAGTGCCAACTCGATATCTCGATATCTCGATATCTCGATATCTCGAGTTCGGGAGGGTGGGAACTCGATATCTCGATTTCTCGACATCTCGATCTCTCAAATTCGGGGGTCGGAACTCGATATCTCGATATCTCGATACGCCGGAAAGGAGCCTAAATCTAATGGACGAAATATTGAGATACCGAGGCGGATCCAAGCTTGTCGACGGGAAGACGGCGAGTCAAACGACTAAGACGAGTACGACGACGAGTAAGGCACCATGTAAAACGACGAATAAGACGAGTAGGACGGCGAGTGCGACGAGTAAAACGACGAGTGCGACGCGAGTACGACGAATAATATGACGACGAGTACGACGAGTAAGACGACGAGTAAGGCGAGTACGGCGAGTAAGACGAGAACGACGAGTAAGACGACGGGTAAGAAGAGTGGGACGAGTAAGACAAGTAAGACGACGAGTAAGACGAGAACGACGACGAGTATGACGACGAGTACCGCAACGAACAAAACGAAAAGTAAGATGGGTAGGACGGCAAGTACGACGAGTAAGACGGCGCGTGAGGCAACGAATAAAACGACGAAAAAGCCGACGAGTAAGACAACGAGTAAGGCAAAACGACGAGTAAGACGGGTAAGACAACGAGCACGACGAATACGACGAGTAAGACGACGAGTGGGCCGATTACGACGACGCTGTACACGACGAGTAAGACAACGAGTTCGACGACGAGTACGATCCTCGAACCTCGACCCGAGGTGAAGGCGGTGAAGGACGGGGAGGAGGAGAAATAATACATGCAGACCTGGGGGGGGCCCTGTCAGGGATGAGGATAAGTGAAGAAGAAACAGGAGCCAAGATTAAGGAAGACGAGGAGGACGAGTAAAACGAGGGGGAAAAGTCGGAAGAGGAGGTGAAGTGGGTGAAGGGAGGAGGGCAAACAATACATGCAAACCTCTGGGGGCCTCTGCTCCGGGCGGGGAGGAGTCAGAAGGAAGGAGTCGGGAGGGAGGAAAGCGAGGACGACGAGGAGAAGGAGGGAGAGTAGGAGGAGGAGTAGATGAAGTAGGTGAAGGATAGGGAGGAGGGCGAATCAGACTGGGGGTCTGCCAGGGAGGAGGATACGTGGTGAAGTGGGCGGAGCCGAGAGGAAGGAAGACGCGGAGTAGAATGAGGGGGGGCAGGGGGAGGAGGCGGTGAAGCAGGTGAAGAATGGGAGGAAGGGGGATCATACATGCAGACCTCCCGGGGGGTCTGCCAGGGAGGAGGAGAAGTAAAGAGGAAGGAGTCCAAGGGGAGGAAGACGAGGAGAAGTAATGGGAAAAGTGGGAAGAGGAGGCGAAGGAGGGCGAATCAGGCATGCAGACCTCCGGGGGGGTCTGCTAAGGAGCAGGGCAAGGAAAGTGGATGGAGCTGAGATGGAGGAATAGGAAGAGGACGATGAGGAAGGGGCGGCGGCGGCACTCCATGAGAGTCCAACGTCAGTTCCGATTACAGATATTGTGGGGTTGCCCCCTATCACCTCTGTAAGATCGGCACCACACGACATGTGGGACACGAACGGCATAGCCCGAGTTTCGGGCGTAGCCCGTGTACGGCCCGTGCCGAAGGATGCGCACGGGGCCCACCAGCAAGCAGCAACGACGCGGAAGACCAAGAGCGAGCAGGCGCCATTTCAGGCCGAGGGAAGCGAAAGCTCCTGCCTAGGCATCCGCACGCGGACGCCCAGGAAAGAACATTTCACACAGCCCTCCGCCAGAGATGGCCCCCGAGGGGGGAGGAGAGGCCGACGGCCCAGGAGGAGCGGGACGGGCGAGAGGAGGGAGGAGGGACGAAGCGACCGCAGGAGAGACCCACGACTTTGCAACAAAACTTGGAGACACAGCACCTGCCTCGATGCGACTGAGACGAGGACGCGCAACACAAAAAAAAAACATGTCACAGCCTGCCACGTGTAACAGTCAGGTAGATGCCCACTATTTCAAAATCAGGTCACCCTCCCTTCGGGCAAGCACGCGTATCTCAAGAGGCTCAAGCACATATCAAATTTCATGCACCATCTGCAGCCTAGTGGCTCACAAAAATACAGGCTGTCAAACCGAGCAACACTGAACTGCTGGCCCTCACTCTGGTCACTTGCCGCCACTGCCGATACCATATCCCGCCACATATATCAGAACGACCAGCACCAATAGACTCCACTCCTATGCCGCCATCGCCTCGAGAATCGTCTGGCCCTCGACCTCGAGATGGCCCGCAGGACGCGGACCTGACCACGCCGTCTTCTTCTCAGCAGCTTCCACCGCGCACAAGGTTGCGTGCTCCAACTTATCCTTCCTCATCGCGGTGATGAGCCGATTCTTCTTGCTGTCGTACATCTTCTCCGCCTTGAAGAGGCCTACCATGTGAAGGCCTCGCGACTGCCAGGATTGAACTTCGCCAAGTACTCCGTCAGCTCGCCCTTGACCTCAGCTGAAGCCGTCTCCACAAGCGCGATGCATGCGGCCGTGAGGTTGAACGAATCAGGCGGGCCAAGACCATGCCCACTCTTGCCACGCACGCGAAGGAGGTGCTCCTCATGGCGTGCCTTCTGCATTGCCTGCCATAGAACTCTTCCCGCGCTGATCTCACACTGCGACGCGCATGCCGCCCCCAGGAGACTCGGCTTCTGATGTGCGATCACACCTAGGCGCAAGGAGAAGTCGATCTTCGTCTTGCCCTCCGTATTCTCAGCCTTCGCGCACTTTACTGCCCGACCCTGTGATGCCGCCGACTCATCTCCAGAGCCCACCGCTGCAAACTGTTCAGCCCACATAGCGCCACGCAGGACCACTGAGAGAGAACCTTCGGCATCGTAATCTCGACGCCTCTGAGCTACGATAGCGACAACCACAACATGTTAGCGCACCTAATTATCACGCAATGTTTACCCAGGAAGATGCGTGGCCCGGCGAACCCTGGCCGCGTCATATGACGCGAACTCGATGTCACGCAATTCACACCGACAGGGAGGATCTACAGTCCGCGCGTGGATGGTCACCAAGCCCCTGGATGTCGGACGCACCCCCCGAGCGATACTGACTGCCAAGTGCCCCGAAGCACATCGACGGGCACTGTAGAAATTATCACATTCAATACATGCTTTGGACACCGTAAGAATCTCAGCAGCGTTATTTGTCCCACGGCCTTCTGCCCCTGAGTTGGCTCGGCGCAACAATGGCTGCCTGCGGGAGCAAGACCTCGCCCCACATCCCACGACATCGCACACGCATGGAGCGGGGACTGGAATCTTGGGAAACGATTTCAGGCCAGGGGGCTGCTGGACCTGCACCTCGCCTCCTCCTTGATGCCCCCCCTCGACCTCCCCCATCCCCCCATTCGCCTCCACCTCCCCCGTGTAGATCTCCTCGAACGTCCTCGGCCCCCTCTGCTCTCTTGACCTGCGGCACCTTCCCTGA